CCATTCAGGACTATTAAAACGACAGTAGTGAAATCAAATAACACTAATCATCGTGACTTTGACGAGGTTTCTATTGATGTTTTTAAAAATTTTGATTCATATTAAGAAGAACATTTGTGTTAGGAAGAAACTATGTACACAAGCAACCGTGTTTACTACGGCTTTATATGTAGTAAGTGTTAGTGACTAGCTAGTTAGTCTAGTTGTTGTAAACACGACTGCTAATCATGAAGTCCTGGGTCGAATCCCGCGTCGGGCCAAAAAATCAGTTATTGCATTTTTCCTCCAAGTAATTCTCATTAGCTACCCGAAGTCAGGAAGTTGGCGGTTTCTCACCCCCGTACCTCGGAAAGTACGAAAAGCCGTTGGTTTTGCACCTGATCTCTCTCCGGTCTCGTCAGTGAGGGAATAGGAAGTGCACACACACTTGAGCACTATAATCCTGTCCTGCTCCGATGGCTATTCTCCGTTAAGGCTGGCCGCTGTGGCCGAAATTCGGTTTGGAGGACATTATTATTAGTAAGTGATAGATCTCTTTTCTAGGTAGTAGTTCTTATGGATAGGTACCACCCTCTCACCTGTTTCTGCTAAATAGCAGTGCCTGTTCTGCTGTGTTTCGGTCTGAAGTGCATTGAGAGCATGTATGATTACAGACTGTGAGACATTTCTTCTTATTCCTCACAGATGGCAAGCCATTAATAGGATTCTTTGTTTGCAATTGGTTACAGGTGTCCATTGACTGCAGTAGCCACATACCATCAGGTGGGCTGAGAGTTTGTTTGACACTTCAATTTTATAAATAAAACCTAGTTATTAGGGGATAACAAACGCTTGAAATTAGGACAATATAGCGTACTACTGTAACCGAGTTCAGTCTTCGCCGGTACCTATTCCATAGCCCATCATAAGTTCACAGCTGAACATAGGCTTCCCCTAAGTAATGCTACTCCACATCTATCCTCAATAAAGTATCAAAATGCAAATGCGTTGGCGCTTCTAAAGACGAAGACGAAATCACTCGTTTTCAGTAAGGGGCCTTTCCAGTTCTCTACACTCGGTATTCTGTTAGAGCGTGGTCCTGCTCCGGTCCAGCCAACAATTCGTGCTCTAGAAAATTTATACACTAAAAAAGTCTAGAAGTTAATATTATAAACAACAACAGTTTTCCTTTTAAATTTTGTAATAAATATGTTTGAAAAGTATGAAATCATGGTTCTTTAAACTGGAGACTACGATGGACATTACAGACAGATTCACATGTCAGATATTTCTTTAAATATATTGACTTACACTAATGAGTACCGATCAGCACTTATGAGACATGATTGGAAAATCTGTTTCTTTATGCAGACACTATTACAGTTGTATTTATTAATATTTTGTTACAGTTCTGTAACTATTTTAAACAGTGGAAATAATCATCTGAAAAAAAAAACTGAAGAGAATAACATTTACCGGATATTTGAATAATAGTTTTCGCATTATAAATGTAGAACCCTGCATTGTGCAAGTTACAACGTGCAATGTAGAAATAAGTTTGTGCTACAAATTAACATACAAAAACTGAATAAATGATCCACATTTAGGCTCTTCCCGCATTTAAGGAAATATTTGTGAAAATTATAAATCTGCCCGTTTTTACATCGGATTAGTCGATGTTCAATCATTTTTTATCTAAATATTTTAGCATCAAATTAGGAAATTCCTACATTTTTTTTTGTTTTTTAAGTATTGTTAGCTTTCGGAGATGACTGGAAGGAATTTAGAAACTTGTTTTATTTTGAATTCATGAGTTGACGGAAATGGTAATCTTTTGTCTAACAATTGCCAATGTTTCACAGGTAACATTGATGATTATTGGAAAGATATATAATTAAATATGAATCTGTTTTTTAACCAATTTCTTAATGGCATTCATCCAACAATAGTTTTTAACAATACAGCAATGAGGCATTCCATATTAGTCCTGAGAGTAATAGCGCATTAACATTTTGGTTCTGAATCCAGATGTAGGTGTCTATGATATGCTTTAGCATACACTTTCCATCCGATGGAATTTGTACTCGTTTGATACACATTTTTTAGTTTCGAAAAATAAATATTACGTGTTCCAGATTTTTTATAATTGAAGTGACAAATCAACTGACTGTCTTTGAATCTTATCGATTCTTTCTGCATTATATGAAACGTAATTTGTTACACCGTTTTTAAGTGTACTTTAGTAAATATTTTTTAAACATTACTACAACTCCCATCAACTACTTCAAGTAAACTTAAATTGCTTTTTTAGAAGTGGTTCACGATCATAATTGAGTGGCAGATTCGAACCCACGACTTTCCGAGCCTGCAGCCTGCATCCTCAACCGTAACTCTACTTCTTTACCAACCTAATTACAAGCTCATTTCTAAAAAGTTAAAGTTACCTTAGCTAAAATAAAGACCCATAATTCACAAAAAATTTGGACACAGATATTATGTTGTAGTAACATAAAACGCAGGTACTAATACGTTAAGGGTCGCAGGGCTCAATTTTTTTTTGCTGCGTTTCCCTAATTATTTTATAAACGAGGAGAAAGAGGTGAGGATTTTTATAGAAAAGGGTCTACCTTTTTGTGTAACAATACATTATTCGTTTTTAAAGTAAGGAAAGCAAGTGTAATTAAGAAAATAATTTCCTTATCCACATTAATTGACAATTATGAAATAATTTTTATTCTATTTTGAGTGTGTAATCCATACAAACGTATTCTATTATTTTCTCCCTGGATAATTGGCGCAAGTAGTATTACTATTGTAATCGTCAATTTTTATAGAATAAGGGTAACAAAGTAGCACACAGTACACCTGATGATAAATGGATGCGGTGGCCCATATACATCTATCCCCAATTAGGAATCATAAAGAAGATGCACCGTCACCACAGAGTACTGTGATAGAATGCCTCGTTTCCAGTTCTCTGGTTCTCTGTTTTTTTAACTCACCATACGTAACACAACAGCATCAAGCATCTATTTTTCTCTGGTGTTGTGGGTATTGGTGTTATTGTAAACGTAGGTAGTTATGCCATATAATAAATCAGTGGTTGTCTCGCTAACGAACGTGTATTATTGCAATCACAACATGGTGTCAGGTGTGGGGTTATAAGCATAGTAAATGTTTAAAATCGAGTACCTCAATAGAATATTTTGCAACATACATATGTATAGTATAATATTTTGGGAAGTTGTGAACCGCGGATAATTCTATTCAGAGATTATTATAACGAGTGCTCCAATTAACAATGGAGCACGCGCGGCCACCTAGCGAATTACAGTTAGAAGGCGGACCCGTCAGCAGGGCTGATGCTTGGAAGAGGTGGAGACAACAATTCGTGTTATTTATGAAAGCTTCGGGTGTGCACTCGGAGACATCGGCAGTAAAGGCAAGTATACTTATCAATTTAATTGGTTCAGAAGGATTCGACATTTATCAAACTTTTACGTTCACTAAAGAAGATGATCGTGATGATGTGCAAATAATTTTGAGTAAATTTGATGAATATTTTGGAACTAAAATTAATATTACATTGCTGAGATACAAGTTTTTCACGCGTAATCAAGAAGAAGGTGAAAACATACAGCAGTATGTTACGTCATTGCGGTTATTGAGTAAAAATTGTAAGTTTGCAACTTTAGAAGAAGAGCTGATCAAGTATCAAATTGTTTGTGGTGTGAACAGCACAATAGTCAGAGACCGTTTGCTCAGATGTGAGGACCCAGACCTGGACAAAGCGGTGAAGTTGTACCAGGCCGAAGAAATTTCGCAAGAGAGTAGCCGTCAACTAAGTGCTAGTGGTGCTGGTGTGTATGCTAGTGTAGTGCAGGTAGATAGTGTCAAACAAGGGAGAGGACGACGCGACGCGCAGCACACAGGCGCCGGGCGCCCCTCGCGGGGCACCGCGCTGCAAGCGCTGCCCGCGCTGTGGAGTCGAGCGCTGTGCAACGCCTCGATGTCCGGCCGTTTACGCCACATGTTTCACTTGTGGTAAACAAGGTCATTTTGCGCGGGTATGTAGGCAAAATTTAAATAATAAGGCCGGTGTAAAACATGTATATGACATTGAACAAAATCAAGATGTCACGCGTTCTTTTGATTGTGAATCGTTTTTTATATCAACCATTAGTGGTCAAGAGGATTGTTCAGATGGTTGGTTTGAAACATTAACTTTTGGGAAGGGTATCGAAAACTTTAAATTAGACACGGGGGCGGATATAAATGTTATATCTTTTGAAAGATTTTTGCAACTGGGTTTTGATTCCAATATGATAAAAAGTGATCGTATTAAATTAGAGTCGTATAGCGGTAATATAATACCAGTAAGAGGCGTTTGTTATCTACAATGTTTTTATAAAAATGTTCGTTATGATTTAAAGTTTGCGATAGCCGATTTGCGTTGTCAAAGCGTGCTGGGGCGACAGTCGTATGAAAAGTTAGGGTTAGTCAAGCGAATTCATGAAATTAATATATCAGACTACGATGACTTATTTAGCGGTATTGGGTGCCTTCCAGGAAAGTATCATATTGTTTTAGACGAATCCATACCTCCGGTGATTTCTACTCTTCGAAAGATTCCGTTAAGTTTACGTGAACGTCTAGCAGATGAGCTTAAAAATATGTAAAACTAAGGTATAATAAGGAAAGTTTCTCATCCAACTCAATGGGTACATCCACTAGTTCTAGTCGCAAAAAAGGACAATGGAATTCGCGTGTGCTTAGACCCACGAGAACTTAACCGTGCAGTGCAGCGCGCGCATTTCCAATTGCCCACTGTGTCAGAGCTCGCAGCGCGGCTACAGGGAGCGCGCTTCTTTTCGGTCTTAGACGCCAACTCAGGTTTTTGGGCTATACAACTGGATGAGCAGAGTGCAGACTTGTGTACATTTGCCACACCGTTCGGTCGATATCAATTTCTTCGCTTACCGTTCAGTATTAACTGCTCTTCCAAAGTATTTCACGCGAAAATGAGGCAGCTTTTAGAGGATTTAGAGGGTGCAGACAGTTTTATAGATGATATAATTGTCTGGGGACGAAACAAGCATGAACACGATAGGAGACTAATTGCATTGTTAAAAAGAGCTAGGGAAATTAATTTAAAATTTAATAAAAAGAAATGCAAAATAGCAGTTGAAGAAGTTACCTACTTGGGTCATATTTTTGATAAAAACGGTATGAGGCCTGACCCTAATAAAGTAAAAGCCATCTCTGAGATGGCTCAACCCTCGGACAGAAAAAGTTTGGAAAGATTTTTGGGAGCAGTTAATTATTTATCGAAATTTATTCCGTGTTATTCTGATCGCGCTCTTCCCTTAACGAATTTGTTAAAAAAAGATTGTATTTGGCGTTGGGAGCTTAGTGAGCAGACGGCATTCGACAAATTAAAAGAATCGGTTTGCACAGCGCCAGTGTTAGCGTTGTACGACGTTTCACAGCCAGTCTTGTTATCGGTAGACGCATCTCGCGATGCACTCGGTGCGGTGCTACTGCAGGTCGGTCGGCCGGTTGAATACGCCTCGCGAACTCTTACAGATACGCAACGCCGGTATGCTCAAGTGGAAAAGGAGTTGTTGGCAATTGTGTTCGCCTGTGAACGATTTCACCAATACATTTTTGCAAAAAATGATGTTGTCACAGAAACAGATCATAAACCTTTGGAAAGTATTTTTAAAATGCCATTAATGTCCGTCCCAGCCCGCTTACAACGTATGATGCTTAGAATACAAGGCTATGACTTAATAGTTAAGTATAAACCAGGAAAATATATGTATATTTCAGATGCATTATCTCGCGCGCCGCTTCCCGACTTAGCATTAGATGATAAATTAGATAAAAAAATTCTATGTCAAGTAAAATTAATTGTAAACAGTATTCCAATTTCAAATAACAAGTTAACGCTGATAAAAAATGAAACGAAAAAAGATTTTGATTTGTGTACATTACTAAATTACATTAAATTAGGATGGCCTCATGATAAGTGTAACGTAATAGAAAATCTCAAAAAATATTGGTCTTTAAAAAATGAGTTATATGTGGTAGATGACGTCATATTTAGAGATAATGTTGTTTTAGTCCCTCGTTCCCTGCGAACAGATATGTTGAAAATTGTACACGAAGGACACTTAGGTATAGATCGGTGCAAGTGACGCGCAAGACAAGTAATATTTTGGCCAGGCATGTCACGTGACATAGAAATGTATGTGAAACGTTGTGCAGTGTGCAGGGAGAGCTCAAACGCACCTACTCAAAACCTACTACTCTAACCTACGCAAATCAGGAATTTCTACTGGAATCATGGGTTCTCTACCCATGATTCCAGTAGAAATTCCTGATTTGCCCTGGTTTAAGGTTGGGTCTGATTTATTTGAATATAGGAAGAAATATTATCTTATTTTAGTTGATTATTATTCTAGTTTTGTTGAAGTAAAAAAATTAGAAAATATTACATCACAAGTGGTTATACGCAGTATGAAGGAAATATTTTCACGACACGGTATACCTGAAATACTTATAAGTGATAATGGAACTCAATATAGTAGTCGCGAGTTCAAACAGTTTAGTACAGATTGGGGCTTCACTCACATTACATCCTCACCAAACTATCCACAGGCTAATGGAAAAAGTGAACGTGCGGTGCAAACATTTAAGTCTTTGTTAATTAAAGCTTATAAGGGGAATAGTGACTTTGAACTTGCTTTATTGAATTACAGAAATACTCCGAGACATGGTTTGGACTCTCCCGCGCAATTACTAATGGGTCGCAGATTACGTTGTAAATTACCAGTGTGTGCAGAATTACTAAAACCACAAGTTGCAGACCCATCTCAATTTAAAACAATGCTGCAAAAACAGCAGCAGTCAAAAATGTATTATGATAAACATTGTAGAACGTTGCCTAAACTAAATATCGGTGACGAAGTAATATGTATAGATGGTAAGAAAAGGACCTGCGCTACTGTAATTGATCAAGGTGATACACCTCGTTCATATGTAATACATAATGAGCTAGGAAGACGAATCCGACGCAATAGGCGTCATTTAATTAAGTCTTACATAAGTCCAGATTCTAAAAATATTAAAAAAGATATGGACATCACTGTAAACGGAGGGAGTGGCAATTTTGTGGGAGAAAAATGCAAAAAATTACAACAAATCCCTGATAAGGTGACTCAGCGTAACGATAATTCTAATTTAAACGAAAATAAAATTGCTAAAAATGGGTTTAAAGATCATAATAATGAGGCATCCACATCATGGCCACACTCTCTCACACGGAGTCGGGCACGACGACTCAACATAAAAATTGATTAAATTGTTTTAAATATTTTATTATTACGTTAGTACTGTAAGAAATTTTGTTTATTTTTAGTTATTTTTGTTCGCACAGGGGGATGGATGATATTGTATCTTTATTAATAAGGGGAGATGTTGTGGGTATTAGTGTTATTGTAAACGTAGGTAGTTATGCCATATAATAAATCAGTGGTTGTCTCGCTAACGAACGTGTATTATTGCAATCACAACATCTGGTAATCTGTGAGAGCAAGGACTTTCCCATTCACATCCACTACACTGGTAAATACACACCACTTTGGATAATATGACACGTGTTTTGCCTCTTAACAAGGCATCTTAAGGGGCTACTCCATGCGAACGACCTTGAGCATTTGACCTAAGCGTAGCTGTAGCGAGCGGCTCGCCGGAAGAAATATGTAAGACGCCACCTATTGTACGAAAGTAGTATTATTTTTTCAACATCAATAAACTATTTTATGGAAATACACATAGCGTACAAAGATAAATGTATTTTAATTTTTTTATTCTGTATATATTAGTTGCATTATATTAGAATTATGTATTTTCATATATTATCTAATTATGAAATTTTATAATTAATTATATATTAAAACTGAAGCATTGAAAATTGTGAGTTTAAAAGATACCTATTCACTATAGGTAAATAAATAGATAGCTCGGCTTTTGTACAAATATTTGGTGCAATAAAAAATAAATAAATAAATAGGATGTTTCGCATATGTGTTTTTGATTATTGTTAATTTTTACGTGTCACGTATTGAAAAGTTACCTACTAATTTTTGAACTGAGCACCTTGTAACTTAGCCTCCTTATTACTTATGCTGGAAGATATTATCCTCACCCCAATGATTGATGAGGATGAAAATCAATTTTATTTCTACATACGTAATTATATTTATTTATACATAAGGGTAACTTTAATAAAGGTAATACAAAAATCAACAAGAAGTATAAGGGTTCAATCTTTCAATTTCAGTTGTAAAAAAACGTTACCCCCACACTAGGATTTTCTCCTGTGTCGTGGAGGCAGTTTACAAACATAAATATTGCACAAAGACAAACATCCAGACCCGGAACAATTATTTGTAGGCCATACAAATACTTGTTCCATGCGGGATTCGAACCCGCGGCCCCCAGCGCAACAACTGATTGCTAAGCCACTGCGCCACCATGAAGCTAATACAAAAACTAACTTTGTATTTGCTTCATGGTCGCCGGGTTATAGCTAAAGTGACCATACGTCCCGTTTTGAACGGGACTGTCCCTTTTCTCGGTCTCCTGTCCCATTGTCCCCAAACAAAGCTCCGGGACACAAAATTGTCCCGTAACTCGTTGGATGGAAGTATTCAAAGTCAACAATCTTCAACATAGTTTTTTTTAATCGAATATATTTTATGTCTACCTGGTACGAAAGCTCCGGTAGAAAGAGTATTTTTTTATTTTGTATAAATTGTGGACGTCTGAAAGAAACACTTACGGTTCCAGAGTTCTAAAGGCGATGTTGTTAACAAAGATAACAATAAAAAACTTGAGCAGAATTTTATTCTTATTTAAAATCATCACCAACTTTATTACAGCAAATTTAATCCACTGACAAATGTAATTAATAATTAAAAAAAATATGTTGCATTTAATAATTACCGTCTATACCGAATATAATTTTATAGTGAACACTAATTGTATAAAGTTATAGTTTTTAGAGTATAAATAAACCCATGTCCTGTTATGAGTTAAAAAATAAATGGTCAGTTTAGTCTTTTTAGTTAAATTTAGTTTTAAAAATTTTTAGTTTATAGTAAAAAGTAGGTAAATTAGTACTTTTTACCGAATTATAAGTATAGAACACCTTATGTACTCAATTATTTTTTGAAAAAGAAGAAAAAACAAGCAATAAATAATATACTATATTTTAGCAAAAAACTATAACTTAGTAATACTAATTATAACTTAGAACATAAATGAAAAACTCATAACTGACTTTTTGGCCCGACCCAGGATTCGAACCCGGGACCTCATGATCAGCAGTCGCACTACTACAACCACTAGACCAACGAGGCAGCACTATACCTGATAAGATATTGTGGTTGGGTGATAATATTGAATTAGCCTTTTATAGTGTAAATTAATAATATTTGTCGAAATTTTAATTATGGATTCGAAATTTCGAACCTTACATGCTAATGGTGCTTCATTTTTTTATTTGCATTTACTTCAAAGAAAATACACGCAAAAAGCTTCATCGCGCAGTAAAAAGCACAACAAATATATGTATAACTAATACGAAAAATTATACCCAAAACAAACAAATAATACTACCTATAAATAACCTAATAAGTAATAATATTATCGACTCATATGACGTGGCGTATGCGTTGGTCGACGCTCTAACGACACGGGCTTCTCGTCGAAGAGCTCAGCGCTCACTGACTTCACCAAGCCCGTGAGCAGTAAATATGCCCAGATTTTAAAATAATTTCTTAATAAAATCAAATATTGGTCTTTTGAAAAAAAATTTACTATAGAAATGTTCATTAATAAATTGCCTATCCATTGGTGTAAATCGCAAAATAAAATAATACTTACTTTACGAGGAGATGCATGTTATCAATAATAATTTCACATTTATGTGGTTTCGTTGTAAGGAGATTATATTAATATTTATTCCTTTAAAAAAAAATTGGATATAGCTTTTATGGAATCAAGATTATGTAGAAATATAATGTGTTTTTTATTTGTTGATATATCTTTTAAATAAAAAGTAGATAGCTTTTAAAAACTGCCCAAATAACGACTGGCGCGACATTTTGCTCAACCTGCGCCTTAACGAAATAAAATAGAACGTGAACAACGGCGGACCGCAGATCGTTTTGTTGGGATTAGGCGTGTCGAGTATAATGCATGAAATTGGGGTAGGGCGGGAGATACTTTATTACGCGTATCTTTACTAATTAAAATTTAATATCATCACTTATACCGCCTATCATATGGCTAGTTACTTTTTTAAACTTAGTAGTAAAAATAAGCTTTTCTTTGTCGTTCTTCTTATTCATCATCATCATCATTACAAAACTTGCAAAGGGACACTGGTGAACATAGGGCTCTCTTATATTAACGGATTTTCTTTTTATGTCTTGTTATATAACAGAATTAAATCTTGCTTTAATTTAATGCCAACATGCCTAATCTTATTGGAAAAATAATTCTGAGGTAATAACAGCACCCTCGTTAGAGGGATTATTGTTATTTGATTTTACCAATAATTCCTATTTCCTTGTAAATATTTGTTTGTTAACACTATTGTTTATATTTGTTACAAGAAAATTATGTAAAGTTACATTCTATATACTTCCAACTGCTGGGCACAGCCCTCCTCTTATTTCTGAGCTCTCTTACTTTTCGAACAATTAGTCCACTGCACTGTTCCATTGCGTGTTAGCGCACTTCACTACTGGCCTCATACTGGACAGACATGCAGGTGGACTCATATTTTTCTTATCCGCTGCACTTAGAAATTCAGCACAAAAAATTGCAACAAACAATTTCCTTGGTCCGGGTGGGAATCAAAGGTGGGTATTTACAACAAGCGTTTAGCCCTTGAGATGCCACGACTCTTATACAAGCTTTTACTCGCGGCTTTGTGTTTTATTGCACCATGGAATAAAATGCTGTAATTTGACATAGACTAAAACTCATTTATACAAAAAACATCCTCTTTTGTGTGTCATTTATACAAAAAAATATCCTAGGTGCCTATGTCCTATTTTGGTTTATTATCTATTCTTACAAATAAAAACACAGGTTGATTAAAAAAAAAAAGCTTTTAATGGTC